GACTCTTTTTTTCCTCCATAGCTTACCTGTCTAATATCAATCTGTCAGGAGATAGTGACAGAATGAACAAATATGTAAAAAATACATTTTTAGAAAAGTTACATACTGCACCTTTAATGTGGACCACACCAACTGAAAATGTAAACAAATCCTGCGGTTTTTGAGTCCACCGGACCATCGGGTGTGAATTTTTTATATTTTATTATTATTTCCTTTTATTTAACCAGGAAAGTCCCATTGAGATTAAAAAAACAAAAACCTGATAAACCAAATCAGTTCTTTGTTTCAAACTTAAACATTCAAGATTTGTATTTCTTTATGGAATATTAGTTTTGTTTATTATATTGTTTAAATTCTTTGCTTCAGTTTGTGTCTTAATTACACTTCCTGTTGTTGGACAAAAACATTTTCTTTAATTAGTTTACCTTTTTCCTTTTTTTCCAATTTTATCTGATTTCATCTTATTCTCATCACAACCTTTCCTCTCTACTAAATTTGTAAAAAATAATGTTGACTAGGTACTCTGAATGGGTTTTTCTTTTTAAAAAATAAAATAAAACCATTTTATTTATTTTCTAAAAGAAGAAGAACCCATCCAGAGGACATATTCAACTTTTTAAAATTATTCAACAGAGCTGCTTTGTGGACGAGTTTGTGTGGTTAAAGGTCTGCTCTTCCTTCCTGTATTTGTCCATATTGGAGTTAACTAATCTGTAGGAGGTGCAACAAAAAGTAAAATAAGAGGATTTGTATRGTAGGACACTGCTGACAGAAAAACACAGTAATTAGAATTCAGCTAAGGTGTTGCACAGCAGGATAGTGTTGTCTTGTTAGAGACGTGATGGAAAAAAGGAGAAGGTCATAAAATCAATTTGTGTGTCTCTGTTTTGTTGTAATTGACATCAAAATAAAAAAGTGATTAATAAATGCTTGTAAATGCACCAAGGTCACTTTATGATGGAAGCAGGCCTTTTCTGCTTCAGGACAGAATTTAGAGCAAATTTTTCATGAATGATCAAACTGAAGCCAGCGTCTACTTTTAACTATAATTTGTCATGACATTTTTCTCTGAAATGTTCTTGTTTTCCWCGAACAATAAGTGGATGTAATGATGGTTTCCTGTGAGTCATGGAGTTGATGGCGAACCTCAGCAGCCTCGCAGTGAGGAGAGGTGTTCGCAGGCAGCAGGTGTCCTGAGTGAACGCCGGCTCCAGATGGCACCGTGTGCTTGGATGTGGCGAATGATTAAAGGGCGAAAGTCCAGGCGAAGCCATATGGGCTTTTCTAAAATATGAAGACGGCAAATCGAATATGAACGATTTTATTTTCAAAGTAAAAGCCCGTACACTGCAAAAAATGTCCACCTAACCAAGTTTTAATACCTTATATCAGCCAAAAAGTCTTTTTGATCTTGTTTTGAGACTAATTTACTAAACAAGAACTGATTGTGTAAGAATAATCATCTTGTTTTCACAATGTGTAAGATTATTTGTCTTGTTAGTCTGAAAATTTGACTCAAATTAAGTAAAAAAAAATTCTGCCAATGGAGTAAGAAAATTTTACTTAGTAAAATTCTTGAAATACTTGATTTGACTCAATTTTTTTCTTATTTCAAGAATCTTACCAAGTAAAATTGTCTTACTCCATTGGTGGAATTTTTTTTACTTAATTTGAGTCAAATTTTCAGACTAACAAGACAAATAATCTTACACATTCTGAAAACAAGATGATTATTCTTACACAATCAGTT